GCTAATGGCTTGTAGCAAACCTTTTCCAGCAGAATAGCCCCATTTGGTTTATTCCTAATGAAATGTCATGCAGAACTCCATGATTGGTTAAAAGTACCACTGCTTTGGCTGAAGCGGGGACTCCCATCCCACCCACTCCCTCCTCCCCCAGCCCCACATGCATCAGAGCCCCTGGGTCCTGGGTGCTCAAACTCTGAGGCTCCACATAACCCAGGCGACAAATCCACTAGGCCCACGAAACCACCTCTGCTCCCTAAAGCATGCGGTGAAGGGGCCGTTCTGGTTTCTGAGTGTTGTGAATCTGATATATCTAATAATTTCTGTGAATACTTGTGATGAGCTGATTAAAACTGACATCTGCCACCATGAGGGCAAGGCCACTGGCCAGAATATCAGGGGCTCCGGGCCCTGGACAGGATGCCGGTTTTCCCTGAGGAGACGCCATCCTTTGATGCTCAGAAATATTTCCAGGGAAGATCCTACTCTTCTAAATGCCTTAACACAGGCTCAATGTTGTGTCTCTATTTCTGTGCAAAATGTCAGCACAGAAAGTTTTCACATTTGTGGATAATCTGTGGCCAGACGGAAAGAACAGAATCGATACAGGACAATGGGAGGTGGTGAAGAGTTTGGGGTTATTTGTTGTCGTTGTTTTTTTTTTTTTGATAGACTTTTCATATGTTTGGGATCACAAAATGGATGGTGTGTGAGAGAGAGAGAGACAGAGAGAGACAGAGGCCACACCAGGAAATACACGATGTGAGGTATAATTCAGGTCACCAATAAAATGGCAAACACGGGTGTGTGGTGTGTGTTGTGTGGCACCCTCCATGAAGCCTGCCTTGCTCGTTTCGTTCTGACAACACCTGATGCCTCTAGCTTGCTTAGCTAAAGGTTTGCTGAGAGCTCATATGAGTGGTCACCATCTAAGCCACCCAGGCACCCCTGATAATTTATGGCTTCTGCCCTCCCAAATATGCCCCAAGCCCTGGTGGCTCAGCCTGGCTGTGCCCAGAAAGCATGGTCCCAGGCAGAGACAGCAGAGCTGGCCCTCGCGTCCCTGAGGAGGTCACCTTGGCCGTCCTGGGGCCCTGACTGCCATGGATCTCAGAGCATCAGGGAGTGGAGGAGTTAGACGAGTGTGTTCACTGTCACACTTATATACAGATGCACACACATCAGGCTCAGAGACACGGCACACGTGGCAAAGGACCAACAGACAGAGACACACACACATACATGCGGCTCAACCTCAGCAACCAGATATTCAGCACCAAGCTCCACCAGCACCTCCCAAATCACTAATTTTTAAAATGTTCTAGAGCTGATAATATGCCTTTAAGCCCACGGGAGGGAGTGCCGGGTAACTCAAGTCCTCACTGAGCTGTGGGCGGGAAGGGGGCAGAGGGCCAGAAGCCAGGTGTGCAACAGTGAGCCACACACAGGAGACCCCTGCCCTCTGTGCCCAGCTCGGGAGAAATGAAACGAACAAGGGAAATAAAATGGGCTTTAAAAAAGTTATAAATCCTGACACAGATTTGCATTTCTGGAAGTACAGCAGACGAGTTACTTATGGTGAAATATACTCCACTTCTGATGGTGTAATATCTCCGGATAAAAAACAGTGTAAAAACTTAAAAAATATGTAACTGTTCAAGAAAATAAGAGGTCCCTCCTCGGAGTGCAAAATAGCAAAAAGGTGGAAAACAGGAAAGAGTCATGGAGGATGATGTGAGTCAATCTAAAAAGACAGGAATTCTAGGAGCACCTGGGTGGCTCAGTAGGGGGAGTGGCTGACTCTTAATTTGAGGTCCTGGGATCCAGGGACTGAGTGTGTCAATAGGATTTATTTTTATATATAATACATATTTTATAAATATATGTAAGATTTCACATTTGAAGAGAGATTTTACATTTAAAATATAAAATATTTATATAAAATATCCCTTCAAATGTTGTCTTCCCTACATTTATTATCTCTTTCTAGAATTACTGAGTTGTTGTTGTTGTTGTTGTTGTTGCTGTGGTTAAGATTTATTGGGACCCTTGGGTGGCTCAGTGGTTGAGCATTTGCCTTTGGCTCAGGTCATGAGCCCAGGGTCCCGGGATCGAGTCCCACGTCAGGTTCCCTGCATGGAGCCTGCTTCTTCCTCTGCCTGTGTCTCTACCTCTCTCTCTGTGTCTCTCATGAATAAATAAATAAAATCTTAAAAAATAAATCTATTGGTTTGTTTCTCTGGAGAGCCCTGCTTGATCCGGCGCCGTCGCTGTGACTTTGGTCTGCCGTGACAGCCCCGTCCCCCTCGACTCCCCAGGATTCAGCCTTAGCCCCCACCCCCAGGCCCGGAGCCCTACATGTTCTCCCCAAAGGCAGGGACCAGGCCTGTCCGTTCTACCAAGACCCAGAGCTGAGCTCCAGGCACGATGCAGGCCTCAGTAAATATTTGGCGAACGCCCCATCGAGTGGACGCCCCATTGAGTGAATCATCGAGTGAATGAGGTTGGTTCCCTGCATCTGACACTGTCTCCCACCGTCTCTACATACCAGCTCCCACCCCCCAACACCGTCCTGAAGCCCTGGCACAGTCTCTGGCCTCCCCAGGCTCGTGCCACAGAAGATCCATGAAAGCAGAGACACATTTGTCCTATGGCCCGGAGCCTCATCCCAGTCGGGAGCCCGGCACATAGTGTTTGCTCAATAAATATTCGTTGAATCAAAGCAGAATAAACGCCGTTGCAGCATTACATTTGTACAATATTCGCCCCTACTCCTCCTCCCCCTCTGCACCCTCCCGCAGGATTTCTTTTCTTCTTTTGCTCTTTCCTTTTCAGACAGCAAAGGCATTTCTGAACCCCAGTTCAGGAAAAAACGTGACAGCTGAAAGCAAGAAAAACATGTCTCTTGTGTGGATTTGTGGATTCAAAAGCTCAGGCCCTGAGAGGACCAGAAAGAACACATAGAAAGGGCAAAGATTTGGAGGAAATCGCAAGGCATCCCTGCTTCCCAGGCTGGAAAAAAATGTTCTGAACTGTCAAGGAGAAGAGCTGAAAAAGAAACAGATTGATTGCAGTGGGGGGGGGGGGCAGAGAAAGTAGTTCTTGGAGGTGCTTGTGTGTGATGTAGGAAAAGGCACCGCTTCTGGGAGCCCAGCTTGGCAACTGGAGCACAGACCGAATACTGCCCTTAGTTGGTTCTGTCCTCCAGTGCTCATGTGGAGTGCACAACCTGTACAACCATACAGGGCACCCCTGCGCACCCCTACCAAACCCCAGAGGAGGCTGGGAAAGCTCAGACAGGACCGTAGGGTCTAGACTCCGAGGAAATCTGTGCCTCCCATCCCAGGTGAAGCCCTCATGGGCAGGGGTGGTCCTACAAAGAAGTGGCCCAGGCAGGAAGAGCCTGGGAGAGCCTCAGGGTTTTCCCAAGCACCTGATGAGGACCCTAAGTGAGGACCAGGTGGGCTGCAGCCTCCCTGAGGACCCCTGGGAAAAGATGACAGCCACAGGTCGCCACCTTCCCGCCCACACGCGCCACTACTTGGCACACGGACACCACCTTAGAATGAGCCAAAACCCCAAGGAAATTTGGGACCAGAGAGCGCCCGACCTCCAGGAGACTGAGACGGAGCATGTGCCTCGGAGCCACAGTGAGGATCCCAAATAGAAAAAAAGAGGTCGCGTTTTGGGCACATCAAAGGTGTGCACTGAGAGTCTCCTACCGGCTGTGCCCAGTGAATATCTGTGGAACGTGTGCTGAATGAATGACAAGTGACCGGTACTTCTCTGCAGCCCTGATTCATTCTGCCCCGGTCTCATCATCAGGGCACCCGAGCTCGCCAACCGCTTGAGGGCAGGGACCAGCCTGCGGCAACTCCAGGTCCTGCACAGGGGCCTGCGTGCAAGTGCTCCCGGCCTGCGCATTCAACGGAATTATTATAAATGCACGGAATTTTCCCCAGGCTCCATGATCCCGAACTTCCCCTCCCCTGCCCTCCCACTCTCTCAGATGGCAGAATTCCTAAAGCCCGGAGCCGACCTAGACCTACGAGGGGGACCGTGGATACAGCAGCACAGCCTGATGGGTGAGCCTTTTAGGATTTGAGACGTGTCTACACTAGCAGAGGAGCCCTGCCCCGTTCAGCTGCCGCCGCGAATCTTGACGTGGTCTGAGGTCGGGCTCATTACAGGCAGTTGGACCTCAGGGATTCAAGGGCAGAGGTGACTAGGTCACTTGTTCTGGGAGTTCCTGGAGCTTTATGGGGCCGAGGACTTGCAGCTTCCCAGAGCTAGCACCAGAGTCTTACGTGCTTTGAGGCCCTCCTGGCCTGGGCACTCCGATGGCCCCGGGCCACTTCTCCCCCAGCCCCCGTCCATGGCCTGGGCTCCGGCCTGCCGCCTGCCTGGTGGCCACGGTCACATAACATTTTATTCTGGGTCCTTGTGGTAAGATCACACATTCTGTCTGTGTTCGGCATCTGTAGATGTGGATCGTGTCTCCTGGCCCGTGTCTGTGAGTTCTTTCCCCTGCGTCTGTCCCTCCTCTGTGGCCAGAAGGTCAGTGCCCGCCCCTGTCTGGTCACCTCTTTGCCTCCCCAGCTGGAGTCCCCGCTGCCTCCCCAGCTCGCCGTCTGTCACTCACTAGCAGTGTCCTTGGCATGTTATTGAAGTTGCTGTAACCACGGTGACCACCCCCCCTCGCCCCCCAGGCCTCTCCTCTGGGTGCAACTGCTTGCCTCTGGGTGCAAAGGTCTGGTGACCAGCCCACCTCCGCCACCCACAGGGCTCCCCCCACCACCCAGCCCCTGCAATTCCCCATGCCCCACATGGGGTCCCTGCCACTGAGGGTGATCTGAGGAGGGCAGGTTCCGTCTGTTTCCCTCCTCTCCTCCTCTCCCTCTGCCTCCGCCCCCCAGGGCTGTCTGCGCACACAATCCCAGCCACTTCTTCCCTGGGGCCCTCTTCACTTGCTCCAGGAGAGGAAGCTCACCAGACAGAGACTATGATGTTGCAGGGTCTTTTATTAAAACCAGGTGAGTCACTCCATTCGCTGAGAAAAGGCACACTTATGTTCCAGATCCACGTCGCCTCCCTCGGGCTGGGGGGTGGCTGGCCCACTCTGTCCAGACGTCTCTTTCATTACAGATGGACACTGGGGGGCAGTGATGGATCAGAGCGTTCTTATGGCCGGGCCTTGGTTTATGGCTTGGATTTGGGATCAGAGGGGAGGGTGAAGGTGTGGTTGAGTTTGAGGAGGTTGGAGGGATTGGGCTGGAGTTTAGGAGAGAGGAGAAGTGTGACCAGAACTCTGTGGGCCACAGTGAGCAAAGGGCCACACTCCTCCCGGTCCCCGTGGCGGTGACCCTCCACAAGGGGCCCAGGCCCCAGGCCCGCGAAGCCACCCTGCACAGCCTCTCCCGCCCACTTCTCATCAACAAAGCGGACACTCAGAAGCAAAGTCTACACGGCTACAAGAGATCAGGCCCGCCCGCCCCTGGGGCCCCGGGGCCCACGTGGGTGGGGGCGACAGCGTGCAGGGGCTTAGCCCTGGAACCCCAGCTCCTTGTACTTGGCGGCGATGTCATTCCGGAACAGCTCCAGGGCCTTTTTCATGGCCGCCTCGGTGTCGGCGTGGAAGTCCCCGGAATGCTTGCTCTTCAGGACCTGGATGATGGCATCTGAGATGAACTGCAGCGGGGAGGAGAGAGGGGTGCGGGTCACAGGAGCCAGACGGGAATCAGGCTGAGCGCCCCCTTCTCTTTATTCCACGCCCATTTATGGAGCGCTTACTACACACCAGGCGTGCGTCCGAGGGCTGTCCGTGGATTCGTTCCTTCGCTCCCTACCACCCTGTAAGACAGGTGCCCCGGGGAGCCAGGCCCACCTCGGTACAGGCTCCAGGTCACGTAGCCAGGTGGGCCGGCTCACCTGCCACCCTCCTCAGCTAGTGCTGGGGATGCGGGGGCCTGGGGTACTGCCTCCGTGCTGGCAGCCAGAGGGAAGGGAAATGCTCCTATTCCATGGTTTTACCCAGGATTTTGCAGCCAGAAAATCTAGGAAAGAACTATTTCCATCCACGTGTGTTTAATTTTTGCATTCAGTGGCGTAGTGTGGTTATTGCTCCAAGTAGCCTGTGTGGGCGCTGGTGGGGGTGGGGGGCAGAGCATCCTATTTTCTATACCAAACACAGAGCCGGTGCTCAGAATTATTGGTGGAGGGGGAAGGAGGGAGGTCGAGGAAGGGCCACTGCTCCCCCTCAGGACCCATCCTGTCTCGTATCAACCTCACTGTCCCACATGCACTCAGACACCCACAGTGTCATTCCCAGGAACATCTACAGCACCGCTGCTTTAGCCACTGAAAGATCTCAGCGCCGTAAAATGCCACTGGGCCTTTTTGACATTTAGTAAAGACTTGATGCCAACCACAGCCCTGGCCGGTGGACCAAGCGGCATCAGGTTACAGAGGCCCAGACGGGAACGTAGCCAGATCACATAGCAAGTGGACGGCAGGGCTGGAATTTGCACCCAGGGGGTTGTAGACAAACGGCCGCCAGAGCCAGGGACGGACGCAGGGACCGCACCTCGGTTGGCTTTTCCCATTTTCTCACCCTGAGCACAAGCGACCACAGGCAGGTGGCGGGGGGCACATGTTGACAGAGACCTCAAGAGGCACAAATGGCAACACCCAGTAAACACGGTTCTGCCCAGAAATAGGGACGGCGGGGTGCCCGGGGGGCGCAGTGGGTTAAGCGTCAGATTCTTGGTTTCAGCCCAGGTCATGATCTTAGGCTGGTTGTGAGACCGAGCCCCACGTCAGGCTTCACACTGGGCATGGAGCCCACTTAAGATCCTCTCCCTCTGCCCCTCCTCCCGGCCCTCATGCTTTCTCTCTTTCGCTCTCAAAAAATGAAAGGAAGAAAGAAAGAGAAAGAAAGAAAGAAAGAAAGAGAGAGAGAGAGAGAGAGAGAGAGAGAGAGAGAAAGAAAGAAAGAAAGAAAGAAAGAAAGAAAGAAAGAAAGAAAAAGGAAGAGACAGGGACAGCTCCACAAACACCTGCCTTTGGGCACCGATCTGGACACATGCGTAAGCTCACCCTTCAGGTCATAAATGTCACACAACAGAGAGGGGGTTTGGGCTACCGTGACATAAACCCTGCCCTGGAGACCGTGGGACACCCAGGTTCTAGGCCCTGCTCTGCTGTGACCCCCATGTGTGACTTCACCCTAAAACAGCGGCTCAGGCGACCCCACGGGTCTCCCCACTCAGACCCTAGTGGCCCTGGGGCAGAGCCACTAACATCTAGGAGAGTGTGGGCCAGGCCAGCCGGACAATTGAGAAAAGTTGCCCTTGGCACCCAGCGCCCTCTGTGGTCCCCTCCATCCCAGCTGGGGAGCAGAAGCCCCTTTGCAGAGCACGGGAGGAGGTCTCACAGCGGGGTGGGGGGACCCCGGGGCTCTGCCTCAGATATTGCAGGGTTTGCGCAGTGAATTAAACTTGTTTGAAGTAGACCTGGGTTCTTGTCCCCGGGCCGGCGAGGTGACCTTGAATCGTCGTTTTCTCTCTCTGAGCCTGCTTCCCGGTCCCCCTAGAGGCTCATTCAGGCTGTACAGTGAGGCCACCACATGCCACTGGGGTTCAGAAATGGGAGAGCGGGGGTCTGCCCCCGAGGAGCTCATGCCCCAGCCCAGAGACAGCTGGGGAGATGCAGAAATCACAGTACAGCCGGGCAGGTGCCGTGGCAGGGGTGAGGCGGGGCGGGGGTGGTGGTGCTGGTGGATGGAGCAGCTGATGGCCACATGCAGGGGAGGTGGCCCCCGGGGGATGGACAGGGCTCTGCTGCCAAGAGGAGACGGGGAGGGCAGGGGCCGCAGCGTGCGCGGCATCTCCAAGGCAGGACCCGCTCCTCACGTGTGTGAGGCTGAGCGGATGGGCGGGCAGGGCCATCTGGGTGTGATCTGTGAGGCAGCTGTGATCTGTGGGGTGCATGGGGGAAGGCTGAGGGGCTGAAGACATGGGTGGAGGCGGTTGATGGGAGACGTGGTGCCATAGGGGTGAAGAGCCGGAGTTCCCAGGTCCCGCAGCTCAGACCGTAGCCACCGGCTACTTAGCTGTGTGACCTCGGGCCTGCTCCTTAACCTCTCCGAGCCTCCAGTTTCCAAATCTGTACAGTGGGTATGAGAAGGACACCTGCCTGGCGCGGGGTCTGCTAATTGCCTGCCCCATGTCCGTCTTCTCCCTCTGCCTGGGTAACAGAACACCAGCTGTACCTGCAGCGGCGAGGGACCTACCATCCCTGGTTCCCGTGCGGATGGATGTGGTCTTACAACTGACTTCTGGCCAGTGAGACCTAAACAAAACTGTTGGATGGAATTTCTGTGACTCCCTAAAAGAGAGCTTTCCTCTCTTCTTCCTGCTTCCTGTTTGGAGTATAGCGCAGATGGCTGGAGCTCTCGCAGCCACGTTGGACCAGGAGTCAACTTTGGGGATTCACGCTGACATCGGCAGCAGGGAAAGAGCCTGCACCCCGGGTGGCTGTGGGGCCCCTAAGCCAGCTCTGGACTCCCTACTTCTGAACTTCCTTTGTGGCAAAGAAGAAGGGGCCCTGGATGCAGTGCCTCACCTGGGGGAGGCTGTGGGAATTTCACGCAGCCATCCAGGTGAAGGCTTCCCTGGCCTCTCCTCATGGTAGCGATGACCACCATCTTGATCCTCTTCCCTGCACCAGCCTGGCTACTGCTCCCACCTCCAGGGATTGCTCCTATCCCCTGAGGCCCTCTCTCCAGCCCCGGCCCCAGGGCTTCCTCTTGTCACACCCCTCCCCCTACTGGCTGTAGAGGCAAGACCTGCAGCTCAGACTCTCCCCTGCCCACCAACTCCCCCCATCCACCAGCCACCCCTACCCCAGGATGGAGCCCCAGCAATTGTCTTGCCACTTCCCGTGGCACAGGGGCTAGAAGCAGAGGGTCTGGAGGCACGGCCCCTGGTTTGAACCCTGGGAGTGTGCCGTAGACAAGCTATCACCCTCCCTGTGCCTCAGTTTACTCATCTGCCCAATGGGTACAAGAATGGTACCTTCCCGCAGGGGGCAGGGAAGGGGTGTACCCCTGTTTCCTCTGAATAACATCCTGATTTGGGGGAGAAACAGGTTAAGTCTCTGTGACCCCCGGAGGAAGGCAAAGCAGGCGATAGCTCCCCTTTACAGATAAGGGAACAGGGGGTACAAAGAAGAAGCACAGGGGTCACCCATGCATCAGCAGCCCAGCTGGAACTCAGGCCCAAATCACACCCCTTTCGAGGCTCCTCCTTCCTCTCGCCCGCCCTGCCCACCCCTGCCCTGCCTCCCACCTCCAGGTACTTGACGGGGATCTTGTGCTTGGTGGCATGTGACTGGGCCAGGGGCTTCAGCTCGGCCTCGTGATGCCCCTTCTTCTTAAGGATGCCCCCCAGGGCGGTGAGCACGGTGTTGCCATGCTTCTTCAGGTCCTCGGAGCCCTTCATCTCATCCTCTGTCTTCAGGTGCTTGAATTTGTCGAACTTATCCAGGGTCTCGGGGTGGTTCTTAAAGAGCCTGTGGGCACAAGGAGGTCTGCAGTCAGACACTGCAGTGTCTGGGACACCCCACTGGGACGCGCAGTAGGGTCTGGAGGTGGCCAGGCACCATTTCCAGCCGAGGCCCCCCTACTTCCCAGCTGGGTGGCCTTGGGTGCATCCCCCACCTCTGTGCTTCAGCTTTCTCATCTGAGCACACAGATGACTGGTGCCCCACCCGTAGTGGTGATTATGTGAGCGTGAGAAGGCCGAGTACATGCGACGGAGGGGCTCCCCGTTACCATCTTCCCCATCCTCATTGTCTGCTACTGTGCCAGGCGGGGAGGGAGGACGTGGTGGCCTGGCTCCCTGGCTTCACCCCAATCTCCTCCAAGTTGTTTGGAGGGCAAGTGACCAACTGGCATCACGGTTAGAGGTGGGGGGGTGGGAGGGGCACCAGGGCTGGAGGACCCTGGATCTGATGGTACCCCCTGTGCACTGGGCCCTGCACCTGCAGGCTGTGCACCTGCATCTCCCATTTTACAGATGAGCACACAGAGGCTCAAAGGGGATAAGTCGTAACTCAACATTACAGGGCGGGTGTGAGGCAGGGCCAAGGCCTGAGTGACCCTAAAAGTAGACCCAGCAGGGGGCCATCCCTGCGGCTTCCTGCCTCAGGATTATCCTTTGGTTGCCTGAATACTTCCAGCTACAGGAGGCTCACAACCACTCCGGATTAGCTCTCAGGCTCAGAAAACACTTGCTTGTTTTGAGGTTGGACCCCCTCCCCACTGCGTCCCTCCTGGGCTCCCACAGTAGGATGGTGAGGCCCCTGGGGTAGGGCAGGGGAGCGAGCCACCTGCCCCAGAGCCAGTGAGTTGGCCGCAGACGGCTCTGCCTGTGAACCTGAGCATCCACCTGAACCTTGGACCTGTGTTTCCTGCTGTGGAAAGGTGGGTGTTGGCTGAAGGGAGTCCTACCTGCCGCCTGGGCAGGGGTGGTTCTCCCCATTTCACCTGTTGGCGAGAGGACTACAGAGGTAGGAGAAGTGCCCAGGGTCACCCGGCTGGCCGGTGGTGGCAAGGCCTGCTGCAGGGGCTGGATGGTTCTACAGCTCACACCCAAGGTGGTGTGTCACAGCCTGAAGTGTTGGCAGGGGTGACACTACCTGCTCGGCTTTCCCGCCCCTGGCTTCAGGCCCTGGGAAAGTTTGTCCTGTATAACTTCCCACCGAGGCCTGCAGCCCTGCCGCGGACACGCTCCTGTTTGTGACCACATCCGACAGCACACACCTGTATTCATGGGCACACGCCCAGACACACACAGGCGTGCACAGGGTAGCACCAGCAGGGAGCACATCCTTCCCCCAGGAGCCAATCCCTCCTGCTTCCCCAGATCACCCAGGGCTGTCCTCCCCCTGCCCCGCGTCACCACATCACCAGCCCCAGCCCCGCCAAGCCTTGTGCACTGACAGCTCCTCTCTGGCAGTTTTCACCCAAGGGTCCCTGAGCTCCACTTATTATCTGGTGACAATGATCCTCAACCCCCTGCCTGACAGATGCGAGACCCAGTACCCGCAGGTGAAGGCCAGATGTCGGGACACTGGAGAGAGCCTGTCAGGGGCAGGAGAGGCCCCAGGACCTGGCACCCAAGGCAGCCAGGGGATCGCAGATATCCTGGGGGGCTCCCAGAGGTGATGGAGAAAGAACACGGGGCTGAGATTTGTGGAAGCTGAGGCCCAGTCCCTGCTGCCTCTAATGTGCTGTGTGACGCTGAAGAAGTCACTCAACTTCTCTGGCTCAGGGCTCACCCGTCTATAAACCAAAAGGGTTGGTCTAGCTGATATCTCAGCCTCCAAATCCTAAGGCTTGACCCCTGCCTCACCTTCCCCACCAGTGAGCCAGCAAAGGGAGCCCAGATTTACTTTGAACAGTGCGGGAAAATAGGGCTAGTCAGCACCCCCAGACCATTCTAGAGCCTCCCTCCCCTGGCCCATGGTCCTGCCGCCGGGAGCCCCAGGCAGCCACACAAGGCCACACCTGGGTTTACCTGCAAATGGACAGAGGAAACCCCTCACCCCACAGAGAAGGGTGGACAGATTTTCTCTACTGGTTCAGAAGCCCCGTGTTGTCACCTCCAGTCCCACATCCACCCACCTCGCTTGTCACAGGCCCAGGAGGCCCCCTCCCAGTCATCCTCTGAATGGAGGCCCCATCGGACACCCACACGGCAGACTGAGGACTGGGACCTGCTCCAAGGACTACTTCTCTGCTCCAGACCCAAGAACCGGACTGAGGAGGGGGCCCCCTCTGGTGTGGCAGGAGTGGGGGTGGGGGACCAGTGGAGCACGGGGCTCCCAAGCGGGACTGTGATAGGCCAGGGTCCGAGCTGCCTGGATTTGAATTCCAGCTGTGCGACCGTGGGCAAGTCACTCAACCTCTCTGTTCAGGGTGGTGATCATAACATCTACCCCATAAGGCTCTTGTGAGGCTTTAAGTGAGTGAAGATGCATGAAGCACCCAACACGGGGCCAGGTGGTGTGCACGTGTCCATACTTGCTGTCCTCACCCCTCCTTCTTGTCGCCACCACCGTGATCACTGCCACGGCCCCCACCGTCACCAATATCATCACCATCACCATCATTGCCATCAGGATCAGGGATTTGGGGTCCTGCCTGCAGCCGCCCCTGGCTGGCAGTGACCCTCAGGCCCTGTTTCCTCTCTGTAACATGAGAAGTACTGGCTACCAGCAGCGATTTTCAAACATTTCGTGGCCTCAAAATTCTTGGGCTAAATGCAAAAATATAAGAGAAGGAAAGGCAGGAGCACACCCGGAAGCCCCCTCGGTCCTGGGCCCCTGCCCCGCTCCTGCAGCCAGGCTCTCCAAGCGACCCTTGGGCTTTTTCGTTCCAGCCCCTTGTGATCATGTACTTGCAGCGAAGCCCTCGGTGTTTTAATAGCAGGGTCAGTGGAGCAGATTTGTTGTCTTTTACAGTCAGACGTGGAGGACAATGACCTTGCCAAGGTCGCTGAGGAAGCCCAGGCTCAGGGCTGGAACAGAACCAAGAGGCTAGCTCTCACAGAGGCACGTGCAGCCCTGGGAATTGGCATCCCCTCCCCGCCCTCCACACACAGGGGGGCCCTTCTCCTCGACCCCAACACCCAGCGGGCGGGACCAGTTGGCATGGTCTCCGGTCTCAGCATGTCCCACAGCCTAGGACACAGCAGGGCATTGAGCTTTCTGGGACCTTCCAGGGCCCTAGAGTCTCAGGCATCATGTCTCATCCCTGGCCCCTGGCCCCTGGCAGGTCTTCTTGATCCACCCTGGGCCAGGAGGGAATGTTTCCCCTAATGAAATAATACTCCAAGTCTCCTTCAAGTCACTGCCCTGGGGGGCTGGTGGCCCCCAGATCACCTTGGAGAGACTTGCACTTGGCAAACTGGTCCCCAACCCCAAAAACCCTGCCTCTTCTCCAAAAGCAAGGGAGGGGCATGGGCTCAGGGAATGCCAGGGCCTGAGAGCAGAGAGGGACCTCAGAGACCCTGGCAGACAACCAAGAGGCAAACAGGACCAGGAGAGGAAGAGTGACTTGTCCAAGGTCACACAGTAAATGTGGCTACAGAGCAGATGTCAATTTGGGGGGTACTTTTGTCTCCCCAAACAGGACCTGTTGCAGCCCCTGCAGCCTGCTATCAGAGGACAGGCGGAGAAAGGCATAAGGGGACACCCCGATGATGCCACCACCCTTCCCCAATGTTTCTAGTGTGGCCACCCAGGGCTCGGACTTCGGGTCACAGAGCTTATGGGCCTGGCCATTCTCCCTGGTTGGGGAAGTGGGAACAGAAGCAAGAGGGAGACCAGAAAGACACCTGAGTGGGAGAGGAAAATCTGGCTGACAAAGGAGAAGGCCCCCTTGCTCCCAGCTGCAGAAATGTTGATTTACGCCCAGTTACATGGTTGACTCATGCTGCCCAAAGCACAAGAGAAGGGACCAGAAGAGAGGTCTCACACCATCTGGGGTGGCGGGCAGTGGGAAAATAAAGTCCCACAGTCCGTCCTTTATGGACAAAGCTTGGGATTTTGTTTTCTTTTGCATATTCTGGAACCCCTTGCTATAGCAGTCAAGCCGTGCTTGGAGGCCACACCATTCAGAGCTCTCGAATTTAAGCCTTCCTCAACATTTGGGGTCACGAAATGGGCCTCTGTCTTCTGTTTTCTAATTATTGTACTGTGAAGATCCGTAGTCTGACTCCACCCGTAACAATTACTACCACCTTCTAGAACCTGTTATATTCCAGGAACAGTGCCAGGCCCTTCACGTGCATTATCTTATTCCATTCTCACTTCCACTCTAAAATGTAGATATTAGCATCCCCCCCCACCCTGCCGCCATTGTAGAGGAGAGGCTGTTAGACTCAGAGAGGTTGTGTACTGTCCCAAAGGTCACACAGCTGCTCAGTGGCAGAGCCAATTCTTGAGCTGCAGGTCTCATCTAGAAGACCATGTCTTAGCCTTGACAGCTTACAGACCTTAAAGGACTTGTGACTCAGGGGAGGTCCTGCCCCGCTCAGGTCCTTTATGTCCTTATCCATTAAGTGACGTAGCTGGACGAGACGTCTCGGGGCCCTTGCTCATTCTGTCTACAATTCTAGGATTCCTCTTGGTGGGCACAAGGCACCCAGGGTTTGAGCACCAGTCTTCTCTTGCTGCTGACACAGGCATGAGCTGGATCCCTTTTCCTTTCTCCCTTCCCAGACTCAAGTCCCTGACTCTTACAAAGCAAAGGGGAACCAAGCGGGGGCTTTAATAAATTCAACTGATGCAGCCAACTGGTCAACCCCACACAAATGTTCCACCTTACAGGCTCACACCTTTGATCTTTGAGGGGTGGGTGACAGAGGCAATGGGATCTCTTCCTTTTACCTGATGAGGACCTCCTGCCCATGGCCCACCAGGTCAGTCTCCACCTTCCCCCAGATGTTCAGCACCAACTGCCATTCCCCGTCGCTGAGCCCCATGGTACAGGCTGAAGAAGACAAAAAGAGCAAGTCCGGGCTGACTCGGCGTCCTGGCTTTGACAGCTGGGGTTTGAGATCGCCTGGCCCCAAAGGGATTTTATACTTTCCCTGAAGCTTGACACAGATCACTTGACGGCTCGCTCACTCTCTCTCTCTCTTTCTCTCCTCCTCCCTTCTTTTCATGTGGGGTCTAATCTTTTCCTTTCTGTAGCTCTCACATGGAAGCTATTTTGGGGCAGGTGCCATTGTGGGGTGGTAGGACAACTCAGGCCACAGGGGCGTGGGGGTGTTTGTGTATGTGGCAAGAGCAGGGAGGAGGCTGGGCCACTGTCTGGAGTCTCCGAGGCCAGCAGAAAGGGCACCATCAAAGCCAAAGCCAGCAGCCTGAAACTCAACTCCCCCCGTTGTCAGCCATCCCAGGAGGAGCTGTCATGTTTTCAAGCTCAGGCAGCAGCACGCTGGCTGGCCCTGGGGCTGGCCTGGCCCTGAGAGTCTCCTTGTCCACAGCCCGCCCACTTTGCCAGACTGCCCCTCACCCAGGCAGAGGCAGAGGGCAGGAGCCAAGGTGGTACCCCTTATAGCTGGTTGAAGCCCAGGCAAACCCACAGCTCCGTGGAGTCTGAATTTTCCCGCTGTACCCAGAAAACTCCTGGCTTAGTGGCCTTCACAGCCTTACTCAGCTATTTCCTTCTGAGAAGCTTTGCTTGACATCCCCCCCTGAGGCACAATTTCTTCCGCCTTCCATTTACGTGTAGGTACTCCTGCTGTGCTGCTCCCTTCGTTGGGCCATGTTTCCATGCTGGCTCCACCCATCCATCCATCCATCCATCCATCCATCCATCCATCCACTCTCTCACCCATTCATCCATCATCTGCCCATCAATCCATTCATCTATCCAACACATTGTTAGGGAGTATCTACTGTGTGATGGAAACTGCTACACGCTGAGGAAAACAAAACTAAATGAACACATTCTTGTGTTCAAGAAACTCATAATCTCTTGGGGAGACAAAAGGAACAAGCTTATAGTACAGTTGATTTAGTGCTATGATCAAGGTACACAGGCCCTTCTTTCCATCAACACAGAATTTTACAGTTTACCAAGTGCCTCCTTAGGTGGGATTACATCTAATTTTCACGAAGGCCTTGCAAAGTAATGAGTATCATCACCCCATTTTATAGCTGAGGACAAAGAGGTTCAGAAAGAATAAGCAGGTGTCCTGGCTGTCCTGAGTCTGTACTGGACTCGTCAGTTATGACTACCCCACATACACAGCTCTTTCTAAAGGCATCTGCTCTGCTCTAGTCCCTCCATGACCATGTGGGTCATGTTCTTTCCCCATGCTCCTGCCAGTCACAGGTGACCGGACCAGGGCTGGCATGTGACCTGAGGTAGCCAATGGCAGGGCTGTGCCCATCAGTCCGTGTCTGTTAGTTACATCAATCAGATCCCTTCCCCAAACGTGAATGGGGCATTTGGTAAGAATTGTCTAGGTGGTAGGAAGTGTGGCATCGAAGATAGTCTGTTTCATGGCCAACACTGAGTAAGAACCCCAAACTTAGAGCTCTTTGGTATAATCTAGGGGTTCAGAAGTCACTCAGTTCTCTGTCAAGTCTGGCCCAATTCCCATTTGGGGATCACCATGAGCTGCTACTTCCTGTATGACCCCTCATGCCTCCTTTCAGTGAGCCTTGTCTATGTCTTTATTGTATCAGCTCGTTCCCAACCAGAGGCTCAGGGCTGCTTCTCAGGCGCCCCTCCCAGACCCTGTGCTCCAGGAGTCCCACTCGAGGCTCGTGTTAACCCAGGGATGTGGAGCCCATCCACCGTTCACAGTGGAAGGTGTAGAGGGACAATGAGTAGCTAAAAACGCCAAGGGATGGAGAAGGAATTGGGGCGGGGCGGGGGGGGGCGGTGGCTATCCTATGTCTATGTCTATTCAATCAGCAGCCCAGTACTAACGGCTTGCTCCATGCCAGGCCCAGGAACAAGAGAAAAGGCAACTCCAAGAAGGTCTGCCAGGGGCTCAGACCCTCAGCCACCGCCGCCCCTCCTCTCGGTCACTCGCTGCAGGCCGAGCCCCGCAGGGCAGGGCGGCGGGGTGCCCCACCTGGCTGTAAGGGCACTGTGCCCGCTGCCCGGGGCTGGTGAGCAGTGGGGCTGGGACCCAATCTGAAGCCACAGCTCTGCCATCCCCAGCCTCTGAGCTGTCTGGGGACAGCCTGAGCATTTAAAAGCTCATCAAATCATTACCGATGCTAAAGTGTTGAATACTTAGCTGTCACCCCTTGGCAGGCGCCCCCATTAACTGGCGTGCTCATGGAAACCTGTGGCTTTGAAGTCGATGGACCTTTTAAGTTTTACCATTTAAGCTAAGAGGAAGGAGCCGACATCTGTTTGTACTTACACATCTCTACAACAGAACGGGCATTACCTAACGGTTGCCATGGCTACCTGGAGTCGCCAGCTTTGTTTGGGGGCTATAATTATCCCTGCGACAGCCTTCAAATGGCCGGGGCAGAGAAGCTGGAGATGCACGAACTAGGAAAACCTCCAGCAGCCTTATCCTCACGTGAGGCACACGCGCCACACACAGAGGTGGGCTAGTTCAACACTCCGTGGGGCAAAACTGGGTCCCTCCAAGTCGGACGAACCCCGTCCTCTTTCCCCTCTCATGTCACAGGATCCTTTGAATGCAAAAATCCCAGACACGTAGGATCAGTCTCGAGTCTTCAAATTCTGGAGTCTTGAGATCCCAGGGTTAAAGTTCTGAGTCACCAAAGTCTCCCAACTTTGGCCACTTTGGAAATGGGCTCCAGACTCCAGACTCACAGAAAGGCAGCGGTTAGAGAAGTGTAGAAGGATAGGGCTGTCCCATCTTGAAGCTAACAGGGGACTCTGGCAGCTTGTCCAAGAAGATCCCTGGTCCACGCGGGAATTTCCCCTACCGATCATCACCCAGCAACTGCTTGAATACTCCTAGGAGTACCGAGCTCACCACCTAACACTTGAAAGTGTCTTCTTTAGGTTGAACCAAAATATGCCTTCCTGTCACACTTACTCCCTTGTCCGTGCTCTGCTGGCTCTTTGGGGATACAGAGGACCAGGAGAATCTCCCTCATGAAGGAAGCTGCAGGCTTTTCTTGTCCTTACTAACCATACTTTTCTTGTCCATACTAACCATGCCCAGGACTTGAACTGAGCACCTGCCCCTGGCAAGGTAAACCAGGAGCCTCTCTGGCAAAAATAAGATCAGTGTTGCAGTCTTCAAGGCAGCAATTCTCTCCTCTCCTTGAGCACATAAAGAGAACTCTTTAGCAAGGGGCTTCCAGCATCCCACTCCCACCCCCCACTTCCACACACACAGGTTTGGGTCCCCAGGTGTCTGTGCAACAAGGACCTGGGAGTTTGCTAGCCCTTGGGCAGCCAGCAACTCCCCGCAGTGAATCTGGGAGATTACATGTTAAGACTCCAGCGAGGGAGGGGGTGACTTCGGCCCTTCAGAGCCAAGGGTCCCATCAACCTTGACCGCCTCCCTTCTCCTCCTCCTCCTCCTGGGAGCCGCCCCTTTGGAGGCCAGCCTGTGCCTCCCTCCCGCCCAGCTTAGCCTGCTCCTTCCTGGCAGTCTGCTCTCCTGGTCCAGCGCCAGGCCAGACTGAGCAGACTCAAGGGGGCAGCGGGACCCCCAAGCTCACCCCAGACCCCACTCCTCCCAGCCCCCTGGCAGCCATAGTACTGACCACGTCTCCCCTTCTCCCCAGCTGTCCTCCTGGAGCCTCCAGCCAAGTCGTGGGGCTGGGGGCGGGGAGAGGTGTCTTATAGCAGCCGGACAGAGGCACAGGGAACTAAAAATACAGTTTACATGGCAAAGCTCCTCCTCTCCCTGGAGGCCTGGAGGGGCTTTATTGGAAGAGGACTGGCAGGGACACAAGGATCCCAATATCCCAATAACAGGTGCAGCCTGAGGACACCAGCCTTCCTCCCCGCCCCTCCCTTCTGCAGCCTCAGGGGCCTGGGGTGGTTCCTCTTGCCCCATCTCCCACCTGTCACCGGATGCAGCCCGGCCCCACCTCCGCAGCCCCCTCCCTCCCTCCCCTCCTGGTCCATGTCAAAAAAACAGCTCCAGCTCCAAGAGTCCTCCCCCAACTCCACCGCCTTCCTAGCAGGTGTGCCTTCCTCCCCCCATCCTCACCCCCCAGGCTCGGTGCAGCCCTATCTGTCCCGGCTCTGGGCTGCAGCTCCCCATGCCTGCCCGCCAGCTCCCTCAGAAGCACGAGGCACTCACTGCCCGTTAGTGCTCTCCAGGACACTGCCCCTCCCAGCAGCCCTTTTCGATAGATGCTTTTATAAACCTCACTTTCCGCAAGAGGAGAAGGAGGCCCAGAGAGTGAGTGACCAGCGAAGTCACCCAGCTAGGAGATGCCAAGTACAATTCGGGGGGGTGGGGGTGGGCAGGCTGGCTCCAGGGGTGCTTCGCGCCTGGGGACTGGTCTGAACTTGGCTCCCTCCTCTTCTCCCGCTCACCTCACTGACAGCACACCTAGCAGAGAGCTGAGCCAGGAAATTCTTGGCACGTTTATTTTCCTGAACTGGGTGGGTCCAGGGTCCTTCCTGGAGGTAGAGGCAGAGGCTGGAAGGCCGAGGCGGACCCCTGGGGGCCCTGCTGCCATCTAGTGGCGGCGAGGAGGACGCCTCCCGCTCTGGGAGGTCCCGCGCTCACCCATCCATGGGCCTCAGCGACTGGGTCTCTTTCCATCTCTGTGGTCATGGCACCCCCCAGGGACGGCTCTCCAAATTATTAAAAGATGAATAGCCTTGGTCTTTGCTCTTAAGGGACTCAAGGTCGAGTGGAGGAAACCTTGGGGGGATTGAGATTGGAGCAAAGGGCTTTGGGAGGGTAGGAAGGGGGGGTAGGGGGCTGGGAGGGATGGAGGGGTGGGGAGGGCTACATGAGGAAGACCTGCTGGCCCAAGTGAGGAGGGGGCTGGATCTTAAAGTATGAGGGCACGTTCTGCGGGGCCTATGCAGGAGGCCCCTAAGCAGCGCTAAGGGACTGTGTGTGTCAAAGCCCAGTGCAGGGGACACATGGAGAAAAGCATGCTGGGGATGGGAGCCCACCTGGGAAGGCCCTCCTGTGCC